AGGGTGGCTGCTAGAGCCGCATGTCAGGGAGAATCCTGTGGATTTCTTTGTCTTTCTGAAGGATGCCAAGGTCAGTTGCTGAGTTAGTCGGAAGGATTCCAAGCGGATGGTGTTTACCTCAACCTCAGTCGATGGGGGAAGAGTTTAATACATAACAGAGGGAATGTGTGGTGCTGGGAACAGGACCTCAGACCAGTGCGTCAAGGCAAGGGGGACATGAGTTCAGGGCAGCAGTTATCCTTGACATCAAGATACATTACTGGGACCAGCAGTTAGCATAATGGCTATGTTGCTGGACTCCCATGTAGTCGACCGCAGTTTGCGTCCTGGACCTGGTGACTTAAAACTCACGCCGGGCACGTGTGCATATGTGCCCAAGATCCTGAGAGGAGAATGGAGGAGAAGGGGGTGCGGCGTGGCCATCCCCCTGGGGGGCGATTTCTCGCTTCCTGTCTCTCTATTTCTCCCTTTCTGGCAAGTGCATGTGTTCTATAGCAAAAATCTCTCAAAAATAAAAAAATAAAAAAATTTAAAAAAAAGAGCTGGACTTGAAAAATCATTTTTTAAAAATAACCTGACAGTTTAAATTTTTACAAGGTGCACTTGTTTTCAGAAGTTCCATAAACCAATATAATCTGTGTTGTGTACTGTATATACCCAATGTGCCCAGACACAAGGCAACATTGAACACAGGGGATCTTAAATTTTCTAATTTCTAGTTACTTGGCTAATCAGAGTACATTTTGAATTCTTAAATCTAAAATTATGCCCCCTTGTCAATTACACATTATTTTAAAATATTTTAATATTTAGCTTAGTAATGTTAACTGTTCCACTGTAATCATTTGAACTCTTATTCAAAATTAGTGACATCACTAAAGCCACTTCAAAACTCTCCAAAAAAAAAAAAAAAGATAGATTACTCTTGGGCCAGTACTGTAGCTCAGTGGTTGAGGGAGCCAGATTCTGCATGACTATCTGCAGTTCGAATCTCAGCTGCAGTGGCCTGGCAAACATTGCAAGCTGTTTTCACGAAGGAGAGAGGTGTTTCGACGGGGTGTCACCACTGGAATCCTCCTGCCCTATTTTCCCACTTGATTAGGATCACAGGTGCACGACATCACCCCCAGCCTGCTCAGGGTCATCTTGGGTCTGGGCCTGTGCCCTGCATATGTTTGTATGTGCCCCCAATTCCCACAGGATGGGAGATGGAGGTGAGGAGGTCTGCACGCTCAGTGCATTGGGAGCTGCCCCTGGGGGCTTCGTCCCTCCCTCACCCCAGGCATGCGGGGTCCACATTTCCCTCTCTTTCCTGGATTGGCATGGATCTGGGAGTTTGTCTGGGTCACCCTCATTTGTGTGGCTAGTGTTGAGCACTGATTGGGTGTCTTCTCCCACCTGGAGCAGGTGGGAGCAGGCCTAGAACGAGGCTTTGATTGGTGTGATGGTCGTGCAGACGGGAGGTGACGTCAGAATGAGCTCACTCGTAACTGGGGGAGGAGAGGAGAAGTGGAGAAGGCCATGGCTAGGAATGTCCGTGACACCCCTGTGTGCGGTCGGGCCAGAGACTGTCATCCCCTTTATCCCCATGTTCCCATGTATAGTACCTATCAACAGGTGCCAGCCCACAGGCAACCTCCTCTGAGGAGTCCTCCCTGACTGCTTCAGCAGACATCTGTGCCCAAGCCAGAAGGGCAGCAGTATTGAGGCTGCCCTGGTCTGCCTGGACTGCTGTCAATTTTTTTTTTTTTTGGGGGGGGGCTTGTTTTACTCTCAAATCCTCGGCCTCCTGATGTTTTCTCCATTCGAGAGTGGTACTGACCTGAATGTGGGCCTCTTTGTTCCTTGTCCCCATCTGACCTGTTTCATGCCCACAGCAGACATCTGTGCCCAAGCCAGAAGGGCAGCAGTATTGAGGCTGCCCTGGTCTGCCTGGACTGCTGTCAATTTTTTTTTTTTTGGGGGGGGGCTTGTTTTACTCTCAAATCCTCGGCCTCCTGATGTTTTCTCCATTCGAGAGTGGTACTGACCTGAATGTGGGCCTCTTTGTTCCTTGTCCCCATCTGACCTGTTTCATGCCCACTTACTTCCAAGGCGCCCAGCAGGAGGAAGCAGGGACCAGCGCAACGTGGGCTGTGGGAAACAGTGGCGGCCTCGCTGTTCACTGCTGGGCACAGGCGTCCAGGCCAGGGTCTGAGTCCCACCGTTCACAGCAGCCAGGCCGGCGCCCGGCTGTGTGATGGCCAGTGCGTGTTTGTCAACAGGGACCAGGCCCGGGGGTGGTCCTGTTTACATTCCTCGTGTGTTTATCGGACTGCTTCCCTACAGATAGCAGGAAGGTAAACAGCACGTGGCCTGCCCAGGGCTGCCTCGGCCAGGCTCTGTGGGCTTGGATTTCCTTCGCGGGCTGCTTCCTCTGGGTAGCGGTAGTAGGACCCGCATAGGGTGTTCTGGCTGCTGGCCTGCCTGGCCCCTGCTGCGGCTGCTGCCCCCTGGTGAAGCCTTAACACTGTACAGCCATCTTTGCCAAGAAGAGTGTCCTTTACGACAAGCAGAGCCATCCCAGCCTCCCTGGTTGCCCGGTGGGTGAGAGGCCACCGACAGTGATCTGAGGGCAGAGTCCATGTCTTGGGCCTTGGAGGTACTGGGGTCCCTGAAAAGCTTCCATCATCTGAGTGAAGGGTCCCCCTTTCCTTGTGGCTCTCCTCTTCGAAGCCAGTGCTGCGCTCAGACTGGGAGGGAGGCCCCAGAGTAAAGGTGCTCGGGGCTGCTCTGCCCCAGCCCCAGCAGTGCCAGGTGTCTGCAAGGAGCACCCCACCCTGCTTGTCCACACAACCACCTGAGGTGGGTGGCTTGAGCGGGTTGCCCAAGGACCTAGTGGACTTCAGTGTCCATGGCCCGGGTGGGGCATCACAGCTGAGTTCAAATCACACCAGAGTGATTGCCCTCCTCTCCTAAACCACCTCCAGCACGCTGGGCAGCCAGGCACCGGCAACTAGGTGTGGATGCCTCTCCCTCTCTCACTGTCTCTGTCTGTACCTTTGTCTCTCTCCCCCTCTCCATTTCTCCGTGGCCCTCCCTCTCTGTCCTTGTCTCTGTATCTCTCTGTGTCTTTTTTCCTTATTTCTGTCTCCTTCCCTCCCTCTCTGTCTCTGTCTCTTCCTTTCGTGGCGGCATGCACGTGAGCAGCTGGCACCCTACAGGTGTAATGATCAGCTGCTGCTTTTGAAAACCAAGACTAAACGGAAACGTGGAGTGTTCAGATGGGAGAAAAATGCCCTCGTATCAGTGGTTGGAGTGTGGAAGAAAGAGGCCATGGGCTTTCTTCGTTCAGATTTCTCTCAGAACCATTGTGTTCTGAACGTGCTCAGGCGTGGCTGGTCTGAGGGCCCTGGTGTTTTGAACTTTGGTTCCAACAAACGACAAAGAAATGCAGGGAATTGTGGCTGGCCTCAGGCCTGCAATCGTGCAGTATGGCCACCCAAGTGAATTCCCCCTGCTTTGCCCAGGGGGAGGCCCCACTCCAGGTCGCTCCACTGAGCATCCTCTCTGCCCACCATGGCTGGTGCAAGTGTTTTCTTCCTTCCTGACCAGGTGAAATGCTATCACAAGAAGTACCGCTCGGCCACCCGTGACGTTGTCTTCCGCCTGCAGTTCCACACTGGGGCGGTGCAGGGCTGCGGGCTCGTGTTCGGGAAGGAGGACCTGGATGGCGCCAGCACAGGTGAGCTGCCGCCCTGTGTGTGTTGCAGGCGGCGGGTGGCGGGGGGCGGCGGAGCGGGAGCCTGGCCTGCCGACGCGGGAGCCTGGCCTGCAGACGGATGCCCTTCTCGGTCGTTACTTTCAGTGTCTTCCCAAATTTAGCCTGTTAATGGGACTCTAACCAGTCTCAGGAAAAACTGGCCATGGCTCCCTCATAGAAGAAGTTACAGAGTAACTGTGACGCTGTGAGGACTGGCCGCACCTCGTGCCCTCACTGCAGACCAGGGACGGGTACTGTGCTGGCTGAGACGTGAGGACAGACAGGCCAGTCTGGGCTCATCATCTTCAAATGGTTTCTTTTTCAGATGACCGTTTTCCTGACTACGGGAAGATTGAACTAGTCTTTTCGGCCACGCCTGAGAAGATTCAAGGTGGGTAGCAGCTGCATGCCGATGCTGGTTGAGGTGGGTGGTGTGACACTGGGGGTACGGAACTAGTTCTCCACCTTGGCGTGCATTTGGGAGTATGTATATTCAGTTGTTTTTACGAAGGAGAGAGGTATTTCGACGGGTGTCACCACTGGAATCCTGCCCTATCCTCCCAGTTCATTAGGATCACAGGTGCATGGCACCACCCCAGCCTGTTCCAGGTCCATCTCAGGTCTAAGCTTGTGCTCTGTGTATGGCCAAAACACGTCCATGATGCTTTATTGCTGTGCCACCATGACCAGGCTTACTAAGTGATTTTTGGCCAAGAAGGCCCATTTTAGTCACTAGACCCTGACATGGCCATACTTCTGCAAGACCACTTAGCCATGCAGGGCCAGGAACTCTCAGGACTGAGGGGTGCCCTATTGTGGCCTTGAGGGTCACTCTTTGATTGTCTGGGAAATTAACAGGTATTCACTTCTTCCCTGTATAATCAACCAACATTTTTTTTTTTTTTTTTAATGAGAGATTTTTGGTATGGCGTGTGTTTGCTCATTGGAGAGACAGAGAGACACAGAGAGACAGGAAGTGAAAATCACCCTCCCGCCCAGGGAGAAGGCCATGCTCAATCCCTTCTCCTCTATTCTCTTCTTGAGCTTTTGGGCATGCGCACACATGTGCCTGGCGTGAGTTTTAAGCTGCCAGGTCTGGGGCTCGGACTGTGGTCGACTCTATGGGAGTCCAGCAATGTAACCATTGTGCCATGTGGTGGTCCCAACAACCAACATGTTTAAGAGGGAAGTATAATTGTAGTAGATTGCGAATAGGTATGTGTAAAACTGATTCTCTTTTTCATGAAAACACATTTAAAACTTATTTAGTCCCATGGGCTGGCCCCGTAGCATAGTGGTTAAGGAAGCTGGATCCCCCATGACTGACCACAGTTCAAATCACAGCCCTGGGGGCTTGAAAAGCATTCTGTGCGTGTGTGCCCAGAATCCCAACAGGATGGAGAGATGCAGAAGGAACCGCAATGCGACCACACCCTGTGATGGTGCTTTCTCTCCCCACCCATCTCTCTGTCTCTGCACATGCCTTCTAGCAATTAAAAGAAAAAGCAATCAGTCTTTCTGTCTTCAGGGTACATCATTTAGGTCTGTCACAGGGTCCGGATGTGTAAAAGGGTCAATGCCATTTTTAATATCCATGGGAAGTAGTCACCCTGATCATGCCTACTCTCAGGTTGTAGGTGAGAATCATTACACGCAAGGCCATATGTTCACATCCTCCGAGGGAGTCCAAAGGCAAGAGCTGGGACTTGAGACTGAAGTCTGTCCCCTGAGGCTGTCTGGCACTTCACAGGTATCCACATCTGTGAAAAGACCGCAGGCCCCTGTTTGCAGAAGCCTCTCTGAGCCCCAGCTTTGGCACATAGTGGACAGGTGACCAGTGCTCACCTTTTCTTTTTTCAAGTGTGGTGCCCATTGTCCAATTTGTCGGAAACTGAGCACTGTCTCTGGTTAGTGCCAGGGCTCCCGGGAGGAGGCTGGAGAACTCACAGGCTCCAATCTCACACTCACTTCTGCTGCTTGCCACCCTCATCCTGTGGGTTAGATAGAGGTGCTGGGCTTTGCTAGGACTGATGCCACCCTGTGCCTCCTGCAGGGTCTGAACACTTGCACAACGACCACAGCGTGATCGTAGACTACAACACGGCTGACCCGTTGATCCGCTGGGACTCATACGAGAACCTGGGTGCAGATGGAGAAGGTGCGTGTGGGTGCCTCGCGCGTCTGTTCATGGTTAGATCAGAACTGCAGTGTAGTCCGTGCAGAGGACAGACACCCCCTACATTCTCAGGTCCAGAGCCTCCAAGGTGCCCTCTGCATGCTTGGGGGCCATGCCTTTGTGTGACGTGGTTGTAAATTTTGAGAACATTCATGAAAATTAGGTGAATTTGGTGCAGGCTTTTTAAGGAGCTGGGTGGGAGGGTGGCCATGCAGGGAAGGAGGATGCAGGAGTGTCCTTGCCTGAAACCATGTGCGTGTATTTTCCTGATTTCATTTTCCGCCCTTCTTCTCGTGGTCATAAATGGGGAATGCCTAGTGCGACCTTCTTAGTATCCTACGGCCCCATGGGCAATAGACATTTTGGTTTTCTTTCTTTTTTATTTTAAGTTGAATTACTGTTTTCTTCCATGAGAGACAGGCACCAGTAACAGGGTCTTCATGCTGTGATTGTCTCCCAGCCACCCAGATCATAGGTGCAGACGTGTACCTGGTGTGTTCAGGGAGGTCCCAGGGTGGGAACCCAGGACTGATGGCATCGCCACTGTGTCACCATCTCGCCTGTTACTTAGGTGTCCTGTTTTAAGGCCTTTCTCATTTGACTCTCTGTTTTGTGAGTCTGTATTGTGTCCACCCAGGAATACACAGTTTGGGTCACAGGTCGGAGTGTGGAGGAGGGAAGGAGTGAAGAGACAGTTGTGTGTTGGGATTACTAGAGGAATCCGCTGCAGGTGGACCTCACAGAGGGGCTCACGTGCAGGTCCCGGTCCTTTTCAAGCTCTGCCTGAGAACTAGACTCATCGGGACACAACATTAAAATACCGTTTTGTCAAATTAGTTATTATATAACCACATGTCAGATAGCTAAAGTGAGGGTTGTGGAAAGTAAGACTGATGGCCCTCCTGTGGTTACCCGTGGGCAGTGTACAGAGCGCTGTTTGTGTGTATGTAGTTTATGGCTATAGGCTGCTCGTGCTGGGCAAGTGTACTCCTTCATAGATTGTGCAGGGTGAAATTCCAGCTAAAGAGATTAGTGGGACCTGAGCTCGCCCTGTAGTCTAGTGGTTAGGGAATCCTGGCCCTGGCAGCTCAAAAATCACACTAGTCACAGGTGTGTGCATGCCCCAAATCCCAGTGGGATGGAGAAATGAAGGAGATGGGATTGCAGTACGACCACGCCCTGTGAATGGGTGCTTTCTCCCTCTCCCTCTGCTCTCTCTCTGACAAGTCCATATGCCCTCCAGCAATTAAGAAAAAAAAGAAAAGAATAAAGAAATTGGTGGGACTCTGAACACACCTGGGCCAGAGGTGGAGACCTAGATAGGGGTCTTTAAAATACAGGTGAAGTTGGGGGCTAGTGGGCAAGGTGTCCTGGAAGAGGAGAGCCCTCCGACAGTCTGTGGCATGAACAGTTCTGCTCCCTGGGTGAAGTATCCACAACAGCAGCCCCTTTGAGGCCACCTGCACACGGAAAGAGTCATAGCTGAAGCCTTGCAGAAAAACTTTATACTGTGTCTTTAAGGATCCACAGTGCACATTGGAGTCTTAAATTCTATGAAATGATCTGTTTCAATTTCATTCAAATGGGTTATCAAACTGGATTGCAGCTCTCTGTTTTTTTTTTTTTTTGTATTAACTACTACTGTGTTGTGTAACTGTGTTCCATCAATCCCTTTGTACTGTTTTATACAGGAGGACACCTGAAGGTAGTGGTTTACAAAGAATTAAGACTAGTAAAGGCACAGTGTGGAGAGCAGGACAGGGGCCTGAGATCAGTTGATTTAGTCTTCAATGCTGGGTCGGCCAAGGACAGAATGCAGCAGAGGAGAGCCCTGTGCTTAGCTTCTCTGGGGACTTCCCTGCACCTGACCTCTGAGTCAGCTCCGAGCTGCACCGAAGATGCACCAAGGACATAGGCCTTACCATTTCCATTTCACCACCTGGCAACTGTGAGCCAGTGGGAAGGTGCCCAGGCCACTAACTCAGCCACGTCAAGGAAGAAAACAGCCCCCCACCCCCTTGAAAAAAAAATTGTGCTCATTATCCTTTAGGAGTTATGTGAAAATTTACAGAATATGCATGGAAGTACACGCACGTGCATGTGTGCACATAGGAACATCACAGAGGACCTGCTGCCATACAGAAGTGTATGTGTGTGTGTGTGTGTGTGCACATGCAGATACAGATGTCATAGAGTTTTTAGCATTATATGGAGATGTGTGCTTGCACATGCATGTGCAGATATGGACACTAGGGAGGACCTGCTGTCATACAGAAGTACGTGAGTGTGTGTGCATGCTCAGATACAAATGTCTCAGAGGACCTGCCATTGTACAGAAATGCGTGGATGTGTGTGCAGATACAGACATTGCAGAGGACGCACCAGCTCACAAAGTGCATGCCAGCATGCTTGGGTTCTGGTTGACTGTCCTTATGCTCTCATGTGTAACCCCATCATGGGGGCTCCACCCTCATGACCTAATAACCTCTTGAAGGTCACCTCCTAGGGCCATTGCCTTGGGGTTAAGGTTTCAACATAGGAGTTCTGGGAGAAGGCAAAACATTCAGACCACAGAGGATATTCAATACCTGTTTGTTGAAAGAATGATTAGAGAAACAGTTTGCACTTTATAAGTCTCAGGCCTGGTATCTCTAGCTTTCTTATATGACAGATGACAATTCTCTTTGGTGTCTTCTTCACTTTAGCATCTCCTGAACCAGGGGGATGGGAACAGATGGGAAGCTCACACTGTTGTTTGTGTGGTCTGAAAAGTATAGCCTTGTGGGTCGATGGTTTGGTAGCAGTCATTGGCCACCAGGGAGCTCTGATGGGCTGAGCAAGCTGGTCAGGAGAGAGAGAGTCAATGGTTCTGGGAAAAACCAAGGAGGAACAGCCAGAGAGTCGGGAAGACACTGAGAGCTGGTTTCCCAGACAGGCTGCGGGGAGCACACTGGGACACAGGATGCAGAGACTGGAAACGCACCCTTTGTAGCCAGATCCACAGCTGTCCTGTGCAGACAGGTAGAGGGACTAGGGAGTATCAGTTATACACTTGACCCCCGCCCCCCAGGCTCACTGAAGGAGGCTGTTGATGAGCAAGCCAGGCATGTTGGGTAAGCACCATGTCCCTCCCAGGTTCCTCCTCTGTCTCTGCTGCTGGGTGGCTCATTATTAGAATTCCCTGTTCTGTCCCCACAGCATCTTTGGGCAGGCTCTTCTGGGATGGCTCGAACCCTTGCAATTTGACAGTAGCAGTTTAAAACTAACTTCTGGGAGTTGGATTTGTTAAAAGGCATGCGATGGCCAGAGGGATCAGCAACAGGATGGCAGGCCTCAGCCAGTTTTAGCCCAGTGTCCCTGTTTAAGGTGAGATTTTGGAAGACACCATGAGGTATTGCACATGTCGTGTGCCCAGCTATGGCTGGAGTGGGGAGGTACCTTGACCAACAGCCCCCAGCCAGGGTCATGGGCAGGCAGGGGGATGAGGCCTGCGTGATCTAGTCATCACCCACTAGTCTTCACATCTCCCAAGCCATTACACTGGGGCCAGATGCCAGATCATGAGCCTTTGAGGGACACACCATTATTGGAACCTCAGCACAGGTGGACATGGAGCCTTTCCTGAGTCCTCCCCCCCTCCCTCTGACAGCAGAGGCATGGGCTCTTGAGCACGTTTGAGGCCCCTGATGTGACAGAGTGAGATTTATGCTTTTCTTATGAACCGATGTTGCTCATGTCAGTATTTTTTTGAAAATGCAGATTAGCAAAAGAAGGTGAAATCATCCCTTCTAGGGAAGGAGAGATAAAGCCCTCCTCTTGGCTTCTTTGTGATGTTTACACACTATGGACCTGTTTTACAGCAGGACCAGGCAGAGCATCGTTCTGTAACCTGAGTCCTTCACTCAGCCCACCATCTGAGCTTCCGTGGGCCTTTTTACACTTGTTTTCCTGTGCCTGCTCACTGACCTCCCCGTACTCCCTCAGAGCGGTTGGTGTGTGTGTGTGCCGTTACTGCTGTGCTCCTGTGGAGCAGCACGACTGCTGTGCCTCCAGAGCCCTGAAGAATGCCAGGCTCTGGGTCCTCTTATGAAGACCTTCTCCAGAGAGAGTCGTTGCCCTCAGATGGGAGCCTTGTCCTCTCTGCGCCTCTCTCCACCATTCAGCCCTGCAGCACCTCTGGGCTGAGGCCCCTCTTCTGCATCGAAAACTCTTACTCCAGGTACCACTTTGCTCTTGCCTGGAGTCAACAGTCCCTGGACAAAGATGTGGGCCTGAAAGGCTGAAGCAGAATCTCAGCTGCATGTCTAAGCTCCACCCAGCTTTAATTTTCCATGTTGTCTCAGTATTAAGGAGTAGAGGAAGGTTGGCAGCCTTTGAAATGTTTCAGCTGGAAAGCAATGTCCTACAGTGCTCTCCCACCCCCACCCCTGCTGCTGGTCCCACTGAAGTGAGCTGTGCTTATCTCTAGAGACCCTTGCCAGCCTGGCACGGGACCTCTGCAGCACCTTCCCTCAGGGGAAGGAGCTGTCTCACCTTTTATGACTCAAGTGGTGTTTTGCCTCCTGTAGTCACAAAAAGGCCTTGACGAGCTCCTTTCACATGGGCCAGCGATTACAGATATCTGTCTGCTGCACGGAGATGCCCACATGGTTGTGGACTCCTATCCTCCTAGGTGTGCGGTCTTGGCAGAAGGTGGCCTGCTCTGAGAGTTGTAGGGGTGGTGGAGGGGTGGCAGCTGTGTTGGCATTTTGCTGGGCTGCTTCTAGGAGACAGAAGAATGTCTTGGGGCCCACAGTGTGGCAGCCTGCCTGAAGCCTCTTTGTCTTAATCCTAATCCTCACAAAAACCTGGGAGGGCCCAGCCTGGTGGTAGAGGTATTGGTGCCCTGAACTGCAGTGCTGGAAGCCACACGGCCGCTGTGGGCTCAGATCCCTATTGTCTCAGGACATCCTGTCAGGCTCCCTTTAACATCTGTGGATCAA